CATTATAAACTCTTGCATATGGTGCTAGTCAGGCTTTTCTCAATTTGATAAATAACAGAAACAATTTAAAGGAAGAAAGATATATTTGGTCTCATGGTGTCAGAGGTTTCAGCCACAGATACTGGTTCCACTGTACCTGGGCCATACCAAAGCAAACATCATGGGAGAGGAAAGTTATGGAGAAGAGGTGCTCACCTCCTGATAGGCAGAGAGCAGAAAGAGAAAGACTGGAAGAGGCCAGAGCAAGGTGTAGCCCTCAAGGACACACCTCAATGGCCTACTTTCTCTGGCTAGGCCCTGCCTCCTAAAGGTTAGCCCCTCCTTAGCTAGTACCACCAGCTACTAACCAAGTCTTAGACACATGAGCCTGTGGGGACATTTCATATTCAAATTTTGATACATATATTCTATAAATTTATATGTGTCTTATAGCCATTGATGTTATAATAGCTGATACTGTTTTTGAATTCAAGTTCCAACTGTTCACTTCTATTCTATGTAGAAATATAATTGGTTTTATATGTTGGCTTTGTAATCTACAACCTTGCTAAACCCTCACTTCAATTATAATAGCTTTTTAATAGATTCTTTGGAATTTTCGGAATTTTCTACATAGATAATGATCATCACTGGATAGTTTTGTTCTTCCTTTCCAACATATATATTTTTCCTTATTTTTCTTACTTTATTTCACTAGCCGGGACTTCCAGCACAAAGTTGATGATGAACAGGCATGATAAAAACAGACGAACCTTCATAACTTAGGAGTGAAAGTGTTCAGTCCTTTACTAGTAATGGTTCTTCACTCTAGGTTTTGTATGACTCCTTTGGTTGAATTGAAGAGTTACCTTCATGTGCGTGTGTGTTCATCTATGTGTGTGGAAGCCAGAGGTAAACTTCAGGTATCTTCCTCAGTTGCTTCCCACCTTATTTTGGGGGCGATGAAAGTCTCCCACTAAACCCAGAACTCACCATTTTAGCTAGGCCAAAAGACCTCTGGGATCCAATGGGACCACCGCACTGGTCTGGCGGTTACAAGTGTGTGCCACCATTCCTGGCTTGTTATCTGGACGTTGAAGATCCAAACTCAAGTCCTCGTGCTTGCATAGCAAGCCCTTTACCCACTGAGCCTACTTTGCTAAAAGTTTTGATCGTTAAGTGGATGTTGAATGTTGGCATCACCTTTTCTTTGAGTCTATTGTGAGCATAGAACATCTTAAGTCAAAAGTCAGATGGTAAATATTTTAGTCTTTGCATGCATTATGGCCCCAATTGACACTACTACACTCTTCTGGTCTGGCATGAAAGCAGTCACAGGCAACACATGAAGGATAGACACGGATGCATGCTAGTAAAACCTTGTTTACATAAGTGCTGCTCTGTATCTGACCCACAAGCAGTAACTTGCCAACCTCTCGTTTGCTGGAATGACCGGCTGTTTTTTTTTTTTTTTTTCCTCTTCATTCTGTTGATATAATGAATCAAAGGGTTGAACCAACCTTGTATTCCCAAGATAAAGCCATTTGGTCATGATACACTCTTTTGTTCTGTTTTATTTTTAATACAGCTAAGAGTTTTTGTGTCTGCGTTCTCAAGGGATAGTGGTCTGCAGTTTTTTCCTTCTATTGTCTCATTTTGATTTCAAGTTAATACTGGCTTTGTAAAGCGTCTTCAGAAGTATTCCCTCTTCAGTTCTAGGTGTGTTTGTTGGACTTGCATTTTTATTTATACCTAAAATGTTTGATGTATAATAATTTACCAATGAAGACCCTTGGGGCTATATTTTCTCTGTTGAAAGGTTTTAGCTACATGCTTAATTTCTTCAATAAATTAAACTTTGGTAATTTATCTTTAGAATTTACTCATTTCATCTAGGTTGGCAAAATTATTAACAAAAATTTGCTCATAATAGTCTCATCCATTTCAGTATCTGGAGTCTGTAGGATCTATAATTAAGTTAATCATTTCATTCTTTGCATTGTCAACTTGTATCTTTTTCTTTTTAAAAATCCTGTCAGCTTGATTAGATTATTATTTATTTAGAAGACCAGAGTTTAGGTTTCACTTTTCTCCATTGATTTTCTATTATCACAGTAATTTCACTCTTACCTCTAATCCTTTCCTCTGCTTATTATGAATGTGTCCCTTTTCTCTAGGTTTCTAATGTGACCACTTAGGTCATGAATTTGAGTGAGATTTTTATGCTTTCTAACATAAATGTTAGTGCTTAAAATTTTTCCTCTAAGTGCCATATTAACAATATCCCATAAATTTTAACATGGTATCTTTTATTTTCATTCACATCAAAATACTTTATAATTTGCCTTTTAATTTTTTTCCTTTACCAAGGGTTATTCAGAAAGTGCCACTTAATTTTCAAATATTTGGAGATTTTCCAAATACCATTATTTTATTGATTTAGAGTTTAATTATACTTCAAAGAACATGCACCATATAACTTGAATCTTTACTAATGTTATTTTTAGAGCTTTACAGCCCAGAATATAGCATGCTTTAACAAATGTTCCATGTGTCCTGGAAAGTATATATATGATATTGCTGATGACTTATTTTGTGGATGTCAATTAGATCAAATGAGTTAATCACTTTGTCCAAATTGATATATTTTATGAGTTTCTATGGGTTTCTGTCTACTTGCTCTCTTTAAAAAAAAATTAGTGCATTTTTGTGCATTTCATACAACAGTTCTTAATCAAATTTAGACCCCCTCCCCCATCCATGTCACACCAACCCCCCCGCCAACCTCATGTATTCTTCCATACTTGTTAAATCCTATCCAGTCAAGCATTTGTACTCATATGTCCTTCAGTGCAAATTCATTCACTGGAGTCTAGTCAGCCCATCTTGAGATCATAAGTAAAGCATACTTTCCCTCACCCAGTAGTAATCATTCTCTAATAGTTCTTAGTCTAGGCCTGGCCAGACACCCATTTCTCTCACTCCACTCTGGGCCCCTTGTCTGATTGAGTTGACATGGGTCCTGTGCTCGATGTCACCATTGCCACAAGTTCACATGTGCAAGCTTCCAGTGGCCTGAAAGCCTCTGCTTTCCATGTTCATGAACCAGCCCTGGCTCTTACAGTCTTTCCACCCTCTCTTCCGCAGTGGTCTCTGACCATTGTGGGAGAGGTTTGATGTAGGAGTCCTATCCAGGGACACACACTCTGTAGTCTCTTATTCTTTAAAACTTGGCCAGTCGTGGCCTTCTGTGTGCATCGCGCTCTGTTGTATGAGGAAGCTTCACTGGTGAGAGTTGAGGGATGTATTAGTTTTCTCTCTATCCCTTGTTCTACTCTGTTCTGTGAGTCTGTAGAGGTTCAACTATAGATGTGTCACCTCGTACTGGGTATCTCACAGATGTATGTTCTCTGTGTCTGATCAGTTGTGGAAGTTTGCAGAAGCCTCCATCTGTTGCAAAAAGGAGTTTTTTTGATGAGTGCTATACGGTATGCTTGTCTGTAAATATAAGGTTCCATGTTTGGCATATGGCAAGAAATTTCATTTGTCTAGAGATATGACAGAGATAGGGTTTTCTCTAAGATCTAGGTCCTCTCCAGCCTAAGCCCTCTCCAGTTGAGTTTACAGTGCCACCCATGAGTTCACGCCCATTGAGAGGGTTTTAAGTCCAATTAGATGTCTGTTGATTACCTCCCAGATAACAAATCCACTACTGCACCAACAGAGGTAGTTTGCTGTGCCAGTAGTTATGGTTATTAGACTTAGGGCTGGGATGGACCATTGATTGATTTCCTCCCTTAGCAGTTTGCATATTATCATCTAGCATTATGAGAGCTAAACTTCAGGTAGAAAGCATCCAGGTCAGTTCCTGCTCCATTGCTCCAAGTCCTGTATCTGAAGTGTGTCCTGTCTTCAGGGGTAGGGTCTTATCTTCTTGTTCAGGGAGATACTACGAGCTTTGGCAATAGCTTGTGTTGTTTTGGGAGTCTCTCAGACACTCTCACCAACTTCTCAAAGGGAGATCTCTTCTGTCTGGCACTGTGTTCCTTGCCAGACAGCCCCCCAGGTATATATATGCACTAATGTTAGACACACACATTTCTCAGGAGTTTTCAGGTGCATCACATTTCCCTCTGGGTTCCCTAGCCGCCCCCAAAATTCATTCATCTCTACTCTGATTGCTCTCTTAAAACTGAAAACATGTAGAGGCATATATAGATTTGTGCCAGAGTCATTATTTTCCTATAAATATTAATGTTAGCTAAAGACTCAGTACTGTCTACTCAGTACCTTCTTGGTGCTAGATAATTAAAAGAGGCTCTTGATTCCCAAGAAATCAGAGAGCAGAGGGGCCAGACCAGTCAGATATTTATTATTCACATGTCCAAGAAATATTACATAAGTGTACTAAATGTAACTATCTAAGTGTTCCAACTTTTCCTCATGTGAAGCTTTCAGAAAGCTAAAGAGATGAGTCTTTTCAACATGCTCTTCAAGTTGAAAGGGCAGAAACTAGGCAAGGGAGAAAGTACTGAGGACTGTGCCCACAAGAGAAAGGGCAATCATGGGCCACATCAGAGTGTCCTCTGGTCCAGGGACTCTATAGTTTACACCTACTCCTTAGCAGCAGGGACCTGTAGGAAGCATGTAAAAAAAGAAAAGAAAGGATAAAGGTGTCAGCATGCTGACAGAAAATACCCAATGGCTTTCTGGTACCTTAGTTTGATGAATGTATTTGGGGGGAAAACAGGGTCAGCATCCAAGCTCTTCCCCCACTGTGGCTTTTCCCATGATATCCTGGCAAGTGTGTGTGTATGTGTGTGTGTGTGTGTGTGTGTGTGTGTGTGTGTGTGTGTGTGGCTTTTGTATCCCCAGGGATCAAATCTAGGGCCTCTTATACACTAGGCAAGAGTTCTATTACTGGGCTAAATCCTCAGCCTATGATTTTCTGAAGTTAAAGAGAAAAAGAATCATACCTTACTTCTTTATCAAAGCTTAATTATTATTATTTTTCCCCTCAGACAAGAAGGACTCAAACAATGATAAATATAGTACACTGTCAGTTCTGGACAAGATCCTTCAAAATATAGGAAGAACTGAAAGAAACCTGGAACTAAAAGGCAATTGGCTCCTGGTCTGGGAGTCCCCTTCTGAGTGAGGAGAGTGCCACTTGCCCTCGGGACAGCGGCACTAAGAGGAGTCAGAACACCACAGGGGCTTCTAGCTGGGCATCTGATCAGACAAGTCCAAGGGCCCTAGGCCAGGTCATTGGGGGCTTCCTCCCTCCTCTGTCAAACTGAGAGTAGGTCTCTCTTTCCCAAGAAGTTAGGACTGCTGAGATTACTGTCACCATGCCATGATCCAAACCACTGTGCATGATGGCCTGCCCCATCTGTGACCAGGACATCTGTTGGGCTTGCTCCTCACCTGGGCAGGAGGTCACCCCCCCTCACCTTGTAACTTGGTTCCCTCAACTCCTTCACATGGAAGAACGCACACTCACACCACCCCTGTGGCTCTACCTCTCTTCACATTTCTCTGTGGAATTTTCCATAATGCCACCAAGCTCCTTCTCCAAGCCAGACATAAATGTGTAGCACTTATGTCCTCCCAGTCTCTGAGGTGGACTTCCATAGTCATTTTGATGGTTCTAGGGTGTGAGAGCTTGGACCTCTCCTCCCAGACACTGCACATCACACCCATCAGCACCTCCTCAGGCCACCATTGTGGAAGATACATGGCACCATCCACCTTGAGCTGATGCAGATGGAAACTGAGGCTTTGGCAATAGGGTTGTTGCTAAGCCACCTGCCCTGAATTTATAGACTTAAGCTCAGCACCAAACTATCTGAACCTGGGCCCCTTCACCTCCTTCATCCAATGCCTTTTCATCCCATTTACCTGGCATCCTTTCACTCCATTTATGTGACATTTTTTCACTGCATTCACCCATTTACTGAACACTCACCAGATAGTCTCAAGTTCTCAGGAGGTGTCACATTGGGGTCTTTACCCCACACGCACAATAGGCTGCCATCTTTTCTTCGGTTCCGAATATAGAACAGGACAGAGCCCTGTTGGTCTGGAGACCTCACCAGGCATGGGCTGGAAGCTGCTGTCTGGTGGGCCCTCACACTCCACTTTCTTACTGGGGGCCAGAGCTAATCCTCTGGTCCCTGAGTCCCAGGCATGTGCTCTATACCCCATCTTCTGCAGATGCCCAACACCTGCAGCGGCAGAAAAGGCAGTTGACTACAGTTCACCTGTCTGTCCTGAATATCCCAGTTTTATCATCCAAGCAATTTTTGCTGCTTTGGGAACTGCTTTTACAGGAGGCCTTGCCCAATCTCCAGTTCCCTGGATTATGACTGCCCTGTAGCCAAAATGTTAGACCATGCTGACTGAGGCCAAGTTGACCAGGACCTGTGAGTTCGGGGGATGACCACAGAAGCTTCTGAGGTAGCAGTGGGACTTACTGGTCTCAGAGTCCCAGGATGGCTTGCACAGCAAAGGACCAGGAGCCCTTGAGCTTCCCAATGCAGTGTCACAGAGCTGTCTCTACTCTGACTGTCCTAAGGGACACAGGCAGCAGCAGAGCTCAAATTCTGAAGGATTTGAGCAAAGGAAGCCTGCTGAGGGAGCTAGGGAAGGGAGCTAAAGGAACTGAGAGAGAGCTGAGGGAGGGAGCTGAGGAGTTGAGAGAGGGAACTGAGGGAGAGATGTGAGGGAGCTGGCAGTGGGGGAAGGGGGGCTGAGGGAGTTGAGGGAGCTAAAGAAGAGAGAGAAGTTGAGGAAGGGACTGAGCACCCATACAAACACTAAATCAAACAGAAATACCTCTCAAGAAGTAGGACACCCCACAGCCAGGCTCCCTCCCCAACTCCTCTTGTCCATTTCCAGTCTCCTGGGAGCTCGCACCTTCTTACATCTCTCATGACCATGTCAGGCCCCATCTCTGATTTTCTCATCTGCGTTTGAGGCCTCCTGAGTATTACGAGTTGAGGGATCTAGCTTCCTTCCCTCATTCAGATTACTGGGACTCATCCCCACCTGACAGTTACCTCCTCCCACTTCCCCACATCTAGCATCCCTCTAGAAAAATAAACATAAGAATCCCATTCACTTGGCTTCCTGTACCCATGTAGAGAGAGGACAGACTTGGTGGTGGAAATGAGGTCAGAACAAGAGCACAGACTCTGGAGTGGGCCTAACCTGGGTTCAAATCCCAACATGGCCAAGATGAGGACCTTGGGAAAACCTTGGCCAATGTGGGCACATCCTGAGGAGCATCTCTGGATGCTCAATGTGGTGCCACCTAAGCCTCCTAGGTGTTGAGATAGAGTTGAGGGATGTTGCAAGGTTTAAGCAAAAGTCTGGCACAGGGAGAGCTTTCAGGACCCATCTGCCTATACATAGGGGGAGGGCCACACCCAGTACAGCCAGAGGATGGTGCTGGTGGTCGGTGGATATCCAAAGAAACCCCTCACCATTGTTACCTTCCAATGGACTCACTATTGAAATTGATTCCACTTGGGCTGTAGAGCTCTATCCCTTCTTACTCCAGCATCTCTAGGGCTCTTTTGAACTTGGCACCTGAATGCCAACCATAGAACAGTGGCAACCAGTTGGCTTTGTTTTAATGAATGGCTGGGCTGTGAGGGGGCTCAGAGCTTCAAGAGGACCTACAGAGGCTTTAGAGGAGCTGATGTCTCTACCATTCTTCCCTGCCACAAACCCCCATGGCTCCCCATGGGTCTTCCTCCAGTTCCATAAGCATCAGAGCCCTGACAAAGGATGCCATAGTACCCCAAAACCCACAGAGCAGGCATCCAGAGGGCGTCTCCTTCCAGTGTAGGTATTCTCACCCCAGGGAATCCCTTGGGCCTGTTACTGGCCAGGGATAGGTGTCGTGGGCAGAGAGGATAGCCACCTGATCACTGTGTGTCCCTGAGAGCCTTGTGGTGACTCCTGGGAGAGCATAAAGCAGCCACTGCTGCAGGTGGAGGCCCTGCCTGCTCAACAATCTTGGCCCACATTCCAGGAGAGCTTGGGCTAGTCTCAAGCTTGACAGGAAACCACGAGGTCTGAGGTACAGGCCAGCAGAAATGATGAATACACACTACAACTTCTCAGCAAAGTCTCCTCTTTCCAAACAGAAAACATCTTCTAAGAGGAGAAGAGGACCAAGGCCAGAACAGCACAGCACAGGCACTCCTGAGCTCCTTAGCAAGGCACCAAGCCACTGCAGGGCTGTACATCACCCATCCTTAGGAAGCCTACACACACACACACACACACACACACACACACACACACACACACATTGTTAACCATTCTTAAAAGAGAATTGTTTTTTTCTATCTAATCCTAAATTGAGTTATTTAGATGTTAATGTAGAGGGTGCAGCTTTTGTCTTATGAAGACACCACAAATTGACTTCTCTCTCTCCATGTCTCTCACCCTAATCACATGGGATCCCGGACGGCAGCAATAGTCAAAAGCAGAAAGCCTTACATCTGCATCAGGCTTCTCTCCATGACAACCCCCAAACCAATGCAAAGGATTGCAGCCTGTGTCACTGAGACTTAGTTGTGCTCAAGCATCCACTGAGAGCTGTAGGGATGCACAACTGCTCCCCTCAGGGGGCTACACATATAGCTGAGAATAAATTTATGAGCAAAAGCATAGGTACTAGTATCAACTAGTAAAACACAATGGATGAGCTGACTGAACATCTGTGTAAAATGTGCCTTTGAATGGTACAGAGCCTTCACTGCCCCACACCTGACCCAATAGCATTCCCACAAGCATAAAGTAAGTATCACACAGGTGTAAAGACAAGGTGGGTGCTTATGGACACTGCCACCCTAGTTGGGAACTGCAGTTGGAGTGACCCTCTGTTACATATTATGGTCTGGGGAAGATGTTGAAAATTACTGGTCTACCCTGTGTGATTTCAGTTTTGTGAAATTTGCTTTATGACCAAATGGAAAAGATTTTCCACTTGGACCTTGGAAGGTGAGTTCTGTAGCTCTGTACAGGGTCCAGGAGAGTCAATTAAGTTGTTTATGAGTCACATGGTCCAAGTACAGATTGCTCTTCAGTCTGTCAGTCATTGAGAGAGGTGTGTCAAAGTTCACACTACGAATCTGACGGGTTCATTCCTTATTTCTGTTGCTTTGTGTTTTTCAAAGCTCTGATAGTAAGCTCATGAAGATCAAACTGTTTTATCTCCCTGTTGGATTTAAGTCTTTATTGCTACAAAATTTTCCTCCTTCAGTGATAGGATTTTGTCCTGCTCTACATCTATGAGAGTAACATAGCCACATTAACTTCCTTTTGACTAATATTTTCTATCATTCATCATCTTATTTCCTGTAATTATACTTGAGGTATATCTTTTTAAGCAATATAGGAATAACTTTTAAAATCCAGCACTTTTGGCTTTTAATTGGAATATTTAGTCCATTTATAGTAAATGTAATTGCATTATAGATAGGTTTACATCTACTACTTACTACCTGATTTTTATATTTATTTTTATTTTATGTCTATGAGTGTTTTGCATGTATGTAAGTGCACCCATGCATACAATGCCCACAGAGGCTAGAAGAGGGTGTCGGATCCTCTAGAACTGAGTTATAGACAGCTAATAGCTGCGGTGTGGGTGCTAGGATTCGAACCCAGGTCCTCTGGAAGAACAGCTAGTGCTCTTAACCTCTGCTCCATCTCTCCAGCCCCCTTAATACCTGTTTTTTATTTGTATCACATACCTAAGTTTTTCCCCTCATTCATCTTATTTTGATTAAGGATTTTATTCCATTTCCCTTCCTTACATCGTTAATTATATATTTTTCATTATTTTGAAGATTATGCTATAGAATACAGTATGCAGCTTTGACTCACTATAATCTAAAAATTGTACTTTTATCACTTTCTGAATAATATGCAAAAAGAACATTAACTCCATTTAATAATCAATTTTGCATTATTTTCTCACATATTTTAGTTACACATACATTTTAAATACCAAAAAAATTATCTCTTTCATGCATTTAATTGCCTTGTAGATTTGCCCACAGCCCATGCTTCTGTTCTCCTTCAATCTACCATGCACGGTCAACACTTCAGAGTGGCGTGTATTCCCATCAACCAAAG